TTTATGTTGACATTACACTTGGTGATGATACAGATTTCAGCTAATTCCACTGCAAAGTGTTGAGTGTGTTGACAAGAAGAAATTTGACAGAAATCTCTTTTCATATGCAAAAAATAGGTGTTGTAAATGATATTCATAGGCATGAGATTATATTTAATGCTATTTGAATTAAGAATAAATTATTTGTTATTTAATGAAGCCCAGGACCCATGCCAGAGCTGGTGTGGCCACACTGTGCAACAGAATTTAGGGGAGACAAAATTTTTAAGAATTTAGAGAAGCACCGAGCATTAAAGTTAAAGAATGGCAAAATCATTAGAATTTAGACAAGGCCATATAATGCAAAAATTTCTAGAATTTAGAGAGGCACATGGCAGCAGAATTTTGGACCCACTAAGAATGAAGACGCTGCAAAACATTTAGTGCTAACCCTAGGTAAGGCTTCAGTGTATATATGTGAATTTATTTATATGGTACTCAGATAAGCCTTAAGCATATACAGGAAATAGTCATAAGTACAATAAATAACTGAGCTATTTTAATTAGGACTAGACCTCATCAGCGTGCAAGATTAATTTTAGCAGAACAACACATCTTTAGTCACCAATAGTGTATAGCAGACTAGCTAACCTGTATGGTGACAACCACAAATTTGAAGGTTTTTCAGGCATCACAAACAGAAGCAAAATTTTCCAAGTAATAGAATTTGTAGGAAAAGGGTAATAAATAAAGATATAAGAGAACAATGTTAACAGTAAATTAAGTGGTAATAAATGAAGGTGATATAACATAACAAAAGTTTTTAATTGTAATAAATATGCCACAGTCATCAGTCATCTAATGGATGGTGAAATCTGTAGTATGGTTTTAAATCCAGAAGATATCAATATCGATAGTAAGCAAAGCAATAGAGTTGTTGAAAACAAAAGGATTTCACATAATTTATTGGGAATTCTTAATGCAGCAATTTTACAGGATTTGAACAGTGGAACTTTGTAACTGCACAAGAATTAGTGTCTATCTATAGAATTTAAAAAAAAAAAAAAGTATTAGCACACTCAAAAAAGGGGAGAGAAAACATTTTACATTGCAAGAAATGTTTAATAAAGCAAACAATCTGGTATGTGTGTAGCATCTTGGTAATTCATAAAGGAACTTTTTGCTTTTTTAAGGATTCATAGCTAAGCATAGGAGCATTAATTTAGAAAATAGCTTTTTTTCTTTCTTGCCTTTTTTTCTCAATAAGTTTTATTAATAGTTAAGGTTTAAGTGTCAGGCTGCCCTATCTTCTCTTGCCTGCACCATTTCATTCAAATGAGAGATGATATGCAAGTCATACACAAAAAAGTGAAATATGGATGAATTTTTAATTTCATATGATATTGCTTCAAAACAAGAGATCCTCACTGTTAGTGAGTGGGCACTTACTAGCTCGATTTAACAGAATGTATACAGTGCTTTTTCAGCTTCCTTTCAAATATTGAGTATCCATTCAGGTAATTTGTAAAACATTTGTATATTTGCTTGAAGAGATTTTGTTAGGTGTCTCTTTAAACCTCCAGATTTGGTTTTGTCATATTTGAGAAGCGCCCACCAGCTGCCGAACGGTAAAGATGCTGAACACTGGTAGTTCAGTCTGAGGTTCAAATCCCACGAACGGGCTGGCTGCGTGTGCGTTTTTGTGGTTTTCCCCTTTGGTAACATGTATACGAGCCAGTTTCCCTTAGAAAGTCCTCCACAAAGGCATCCCTCCCTTTAGGCAGATAGCCTTCGTGTGCTTTGCCATAATTAAATAATCCAATCCTGTATTTGAGAAGCAGGTAACATAGTTGTAAATTTAGAGTGGAGCAAACTTATAGTTGTATAATTCGCTGCAGCGTTAGTGCATTAACAGTGTTAATTGATCAAATGTCATTTCATTTATTCTTGTAGTTACATATGTTCATAGTTTGTGAGGGCAAAAACTAGTCAATGAACTATGTAGCTTATCAGGAGTTAGGCATTAGCCAAGACTTCAGGAAAAGTCCAGTATAAGGTTATAAATTTTTACAGTTAGTCTTTATGAAATGCTCAACATTAATCATGTTATTCTAGGACTCAGAGGGCTTTGAAGTACAGTCAAAAGTCGTTAATTCAGACACCCATAATCCGGAATGATCTATAATCCGGACCTCAAAGCTAAAAACTTTCTGCGCATGTGCCGCGCTGGCACAGGCGTTTTACGCGTACGCGTAAGACCTTGACTACTGCGCATATGCGTGTGCGCTAGTGCAGAATACGTTTTCGCCTGCGCGTTTAATGTATAACAGACGGTGTAAGCTAAAATTATCTAATTATCTATTTCAGTTAATGTTAATGATTGCGTTGTTCCTTAATCTTCGAATTAGGATCCCGCTTATTATTTTTTGCAGACTGTAAGAGCAATTTTATAAAAGTAAACTTGAACTTTCGATTATGTCAAATAGAATTTCCGATGCTGGAACTTCCAAAGGATCTACAAAACGAAAGTATGTTTCAATGTCCAACAAACAAAAAGTGAATTGCTGCAAAAAAATGGATAAAGACATGGAAGAATGTGACAGAGAGGTTAGTGAAAATGAAAAAATTTCGATTGACAAATTAGTCGGTATTCTCGGCACAGCAATTAACGGGACTTGAACAGTGGAACTTTGTAACTGAACAAGAAATTATGTCTGTTTATAGAATTAAAGAGAAAGTATTATCACATAAAACGAAGCAACTTAAACAACTTACATTGAAAGAAATGTTTAATAAGGTAAACAACTAAATATTAAGCTTTTTTGTGTGTGTGTGTGTGTTGTGTAAATTTTGATACCCTTTAGATCATAATTGTTTTTTATTTCATAAATTAGGGTTTCATATTTTTAATTTTAGAATTTCTGCATGCCATCTGATGAAATTTAAACTGATGATCTATAATCCAGAAAAATCGATAATCCGGAATCGCCGAAGTCCCGATGAGTCCGGATTAACGACTTTTGACTGTATATCAATTTGCTTATTTAAAATTGCTATCACAGTCAATTTGCTTGACATTGTAGCTGAACAATGTACCTCATATGTGTTTTAAGTTTTGAGTGTTCTCTGCATTTAAGATTTCAATCTGTGGTTTCAAAGAATATGCATTTTCTATCATTTGTGTATCTGGGTAAGAGGTATTTGCATTATTCAGAGTTGATATAAATATAGTCAATGAATGTGATAGTATAATAGTAGTTTAAGAGAGTTAAACATAGGAAGAATATTTTGTGTAGTAAAAGTCCCCTCTTAAGTTTTCCTACTTAGATTTTCATTATGTCCATTAACATTATTAAGGGCATTCAATTTAAATAAAAAATGACAGTGGTGCAATTTTGCCACTTTTATTTCATTCTGGTGAAATGATGGAACTCAATGAAAGTTAAAGGCTGCCTTTTAACGATTTATATGTACTACTTAGTTGCTGCATTTGGCATTTGATTACTGCTTAGACGTATAAGATTCAAGCTGTTGGCCCCTGAATCAAGCTGTAATGATTGTATTACATCAACCTCTAAGCTATAATGTTTTATAATCCTTTTTTCTTCCTCTCCCTCCAATAAAAAAAAATCATCCAAAGTCCAAGAAACGGGCATTTTAAGCCTTCAAAAATTATGGATTAATTAAAATGGAATTTTAAAAAGGGAATAGTCAATAGTATGTTAAAAACAGTATAGTGATATGAAGTATATAGGTATTTGGACCAAATATAATTTACTTTGCATTTTAGGCCATTCATTGACATTGAAGCATCAGAGTTTGTAATAAATAAAGATCTTTTAACCAACTTGCTTGTAAAGTTCTTGGTTAATTAAAAAAATTACAGGGGTTAGGTGTTATGAGCTTATAAGCATTCAGAATAAGACAAATAACTGCATTGCATGGTTGCATGATATTTACCATGATATTAGAATTTAAGCATTTTTAATAACTTGATAAATTTTGTGTTACTTTCTGATTATCTGCAACCCCCTAAAAAGTATACATGAGGAAATAATAAATGCCAAAATAGGCAGCCTGTGACGTCGCCAAAATGTATTTGTATATGTGGCAGCTCAGGCATGCACTTTCTAGTACAATAGATGAAAGTTGATTTCCATAAAATTCGTTGCCCATTATTCAAATAAGTCTTTGTTTTTATTGCATTTAAATATTTCTCCCCACCCTCTTGTAAGAAATTGTAATGGGACTGTGTAGTTTACCAGCTGATGAAAACATATCTTCAAAAATATGACATTTTGCCCAACGGTAGCAAATGCAAAAATTCACATTCTGTGAAGTTATGCAGTTAAATTTTATAGATCAAAATTTGTACAATTCTCTCATTTTGATTTTTTTAAAGCAAAACTAAATCATTGTGTACATGAGATAGACAGTAATGTGCAATGCCAAGTTTCTGCAGTTCAAGATGTTTTTTGAAGTTAAAATAAATAGATCACTGTATATGGGGAAAACAGCATTAAAATAAAAAGGTTGTTTTATTATGAGTGTTTCTTACACTTTTAATTTTGTTAATTGAGTGCTGATTTATGTCATTTTTAGTTGTGCCACCATTTTTTTAAATAGCTGTTGTCTTTTGTGTTTTAGCATAGCGAAGAATTAATTGCTGTCATTTGGGGGCATTTCAGAAAAGGAAATATAAATAATCCAAAAGTGTCCATTATGTTCTCATCTGAAAACAGAATATCTGTTCTTGTTTCCATATTCTACAAATTAAAAATGCTTATTACTATTTGAGGAATGTTAAAGTGAATAAAAATTAAAGAATATGAAAGATTATAAAAACTAATTAAATAGTCATTACATTATATTACATAATTTAAATTTATTTTTCCTCTTTTACATAACATTAAATAGTTTTTTAAACCTGTACAAAATGTAGATATCAATTTATTATTTATTACTGTGAAAGTGACTAAGGTTTTAAGTGAATTTAGAAATTTTATTTTTTTCTCTTCAAGCTGCAAATATTGAGCAAGTAACTGGAAATAACAAACCTAGTGGGAAAAGAACGGTAAGTTATTTTGAGTGTTCTACTAAAAACTGGTGTGTAACACTTTAAAGTATGACTATTCAACAATAATAGACCTTTCTGCTAATTGAACAAACTGTCAGTGATCATTAGTAAGATACAAAATGATTTTATCTTTTATAATTGTAAAGAATTTAAGAAAATTGCTAAATAAAAGTGTCATTATTTAACCAAAGAAGTAGGGTTCCAATTCAGTCTATGACCATATTTTGGGGGGATCTAGAAACATATTTATAATAGAATCAGTATAGCTGTTTTTGCAGTGGTAGCTTTTTGATAATTTGGATGTATTATAATGCCCTCCGTATGAATGATTTGATAATTAAGTATTCAGGTCTTATAAATAATTCTGGAATGTCCTTCTTTTTTTTTTTTTTTTTTTTTAAAGTTTGCTTCTAAAAAAAGTCCTTAATTTCAACCAAAATCGGCAAATGGTCCTTAATTTTACTCAACTGACATTTCTGTCTGTTTTTTACAACTGCGATTTTTAGCTTAAATTCGTATTTTGGAGGGGTTTTTTTGGAGGGGAGGGGCAATTCTTTGACAAATATGTAGGACATGGAGCAACGTCTAGTGGAAACATTGCTTTGTTTATTAAAATACGTAAGCTTAGAAAAGATGTTAAAAAGTAGGAAATTAATATAAATTAGCTAAAATGTCTAAAAAATATTCTAATTGAAAAGACACAAATACTTTGTTGTATGTTATTGCTATAAAACATACATGTTTTGTAGCAACAAGATACAACAAAGCTGTTTTATAGCTTAATATAGCTTTAATATATAATTATCTTAATATTTTAGAATCATGTCATAATTTGTATGTGTGATTTTAATAGTGCTTTTCAGTGAGTATTTTTAAAAAATGTTGCTTATCTTCTTTAAAAATCTGTGAAACTATTATAAGTGAAAAATATAAATGTTTCAGAAAATGTTTTATTTTAATGCTGATTACTTGATAAGTTGATTACTTTATTAAGTTGATTTTATTCACAAATTTGCTCTATAATTATGTTAAATATTAGCTTATATACATTGCCTTAGAAAAGTTAAGGAGCAGCATGTTTTTCATAGCTCACCATTACAAAAATGTCAGTAACATTTAAATTAACCATTTATATGCATAATAGTAATGAAGTTTTATAAGGTATTTCTCCCTACTTCTTAGCGAGCCTTCATAGTGGGGTGGTCTGCATGCTGGTCACATATCCCAGAGGCCCGCAGTTTGATTCCTGGCGAAGGCATTGTTTATTTTTCATCTCTGCTGCTTCCAAAAAAAGTACCTAATGTCTCTACAATGGCACCCGAACTAAAAGATTCGTGGATGAGGATTCTCCACGCCCAGGATTTGGCAATAGGTCCCCTAAAAATCCCAGTCACCCTTTAAAAGGGGGAGTATGTAAGGTTTTTCTCCCACCTTCTTAGCGAGCCTTCGTGGTGTGATGGTCTGCACAATGGATGCGTATTTCAGAGGTCCAGGGTTCGATTCCCGGAGAAGGCGAATTATTTTTCATCTCTCCTGCTTCCAAAAAAATACCTAATGTCTCTACAGTTTAAGAAAATATATACAAAAACAATAGCTACTGCTTCTGTTTTATAGAAATGAATGCTTATATAGGAGTTGGAGGAAAAAATTTAAAAAAAAAAAAAAAAAAATTAATTTTGTTCACGTGTTGATTTTTAATTCCTATTAGCAATTTTGTTCACAATAGCCAGTAGAGTCTATGAGTGTCCAGTAGAAGTCCAATGCTGGATTTATTGATAGGGGAGGAGATCGAATGAATGAAAATGTTGTTGTCACAAGCTGATGCTGCTAGATGTGTCAATGTCTCTCGTAGTGTGGTCCACAGACTATGGAATTAGTTTAAATCTGAAAATTCTGTGCCTAGAAGACATGTTCCAGGCAGACCAAAAGTTACAACACCTGTGGGAGACTGTTATTTAAATATTTCGGTCCGAAGGAGGAGCAACATTACAGTTCCTCAGCTCATGGTAGATCATTTAGTGGTAACAGGAGCAAGAATCTCGGCTACAACCATGTGCAGATGCCTGCATAATACAGGTCTGTATGCAAGACAACTGGTTGTTTGTATTTCCTTGACCTGAGGATACAGAGGTGCCCGTTTATGTTGTGCAAAAGAACTCTTCTCCTGGACCACTCAACAATAGGCATTTGTTCTCTTCACACATGAGTTCAGGTTAACGCTGGAGAGTGATTCAGGTCGTCAACTGATCTGGAAGGAACAATGCACCAGGTACAACCAATCCCACCTTGTTGAAAGACACAGTTATAGAGATGGTAGAATAATAGTTTGGGCTAGGATCTCTGTCATTGTTCACACTGATCTTCATGTGTTCTATGGGGGATTTTTGACCAGTATGAGATATCGAGACGAGATCCTTGATCAATATACCAACCCATATGCCACTATAAAATGAAAAAACTTCATCAGCAAAATAAATATATTTTTTTCTGAATTATTTGTTGAAAAATTTGTGTTTGCATTATATGATGTTTGGACCAATAATGTTCTTGTTTTGACTTTTTTACAATTCTTTGAAGAAACAAAACAGAAAAGAAAGTCCATTTTTTCCACCTTGATCTTTTTTTAGAAACTACCTTATTCATATACTGTTCTGTTGGTCTCTTGTACTATTTATTATTTGTAACTTAAGGTCATCCAAAAAAATTCAAAATAAGGGAAAACAGTTGCAACTATTTCCATAGTGAAAGTTGCTCTGGGATTGCCAAGACAAGGAAATGAAACAGGAGCTGGTGAAATATTTTAATTTTGCACCTCTGTCAGACATTTTAAATCAATCGATTTAAAAATCAGGATAATCGATAATCAGGATTTCAATTAAAATCAGGATTTCGATTTAAAAATCAGGCTGTGCAGGATATGCAATGAGTGCGTTAAGAAAAGAGGTCAATACAGAGGAAGAGCCCAGTTCTTCAGCACTTTGATCACAGTTAGTTACTTTAGCACCAGTTGAAAGTTCTGGTACTGCTTAATCTGTTAGCAAAGTTAGATTTAATGATTATTCTGATATGTTTAATAAAACATATATGAGGGATGTTTTTAAGTAAGGACTGTTTTGAAAAAAAAAAAGTAATAATTTTTTTTTTTTTACTTTTCATCATAGTTGCCAAGTTTGTATAAACACTCATCATACTTTAGAACTAAATTTTGTATAACCTCTTCATAGAAACTTCTGATAACATAGAGGTCATGTCCGTTTTCATGTCTTTGTCATTGTTGTAGTGGTTGCCGCCGATATGATATTTGAGATAGCGGAAAAGATGAAAATGGCATAAGGTCTGGGCTGTAGGGGGGGTCCAAAACTTCCCAGCCAAAAGAGTCCAATAAAGCTTGGGTCTGTGCTGCAGTGTGAGGCCTTTTATTTTCATGGAGTAGCAAAATTCCCTCTATCAGCATACCGCGTCTTTTGTTTTGAATCGTTCTGCGTAGCTTTCGCAGGGTTTGGCAGTAGGCTGCCGCGTTGCATGAAATCGACCAACAGATCTCAAAACATGGACACCGTGATCTTTGGCTGGGACAGAGTGTGTTTGGCCTTGACCCTTACAGGAGAAAGTTTGTGTGTCTTCACTCCATGCTCTGTCATTTCCATTTGGGTGTGACATATGAAACCGACGTTTCGTCTCCCATTACGATCTGACTCAACATGGCATCACCTTCTTCGCTATAACAAATCAAACAATTTAGCAAATACTCGAATCATTTGTTTTTGTGGTCTTCCGTTAGGAGTTTAGGGACCCAACGGAAGCACAGTTTCTTAAATCTTAACTTATCAGAAACAATCTTGTACAGCACTGACTTGGACAATTCAGGAAATTCATTTGAAAGAATGCTTAGGGTGAAGCATCTGTTCTCAAGAATTTTCACTTCAACTGAAACCACCATATCGTCTGTGATCCCAGATGGGCGACCGGGGCAGGGCTCATCATGGATGTTGTCGCAGCCAGCTTTGAAGTCTCCAACCCACCTACACACTTTGCCTTCGTGGGAGTAGCTCCATAAACTTCACAAATCTGCTGGTGAATGTCTGCTGCAGACATGTTTCTTGCCGACAAAAAACTTATAACTGTCCGTACCTTGCATGTGGCGAGCGATTCAACAATATTGAACATTTTAAAGACACAGAACAGACTGTACAGGTTACCTACGCAGCTGCAATTGAGCTCAGTTTTTTCCAAGGAATGCCGGGACACAATGCAAATACTTGTTGCGGCACACGCTATATAATAAAAAGAAATTATGTCTAAATATTTTTTTTAGTTTGTATTAATCATCTGCTACTTTGTTTTTAAAATGCATGATGCAGGTGATATTTGTATTGAATCTGTATCTCGATTAGAATATAGTTAAAAACTGATTTGGGACTAATATTCCAAAATTGCTCAGTGAATAAGTAATATCGAGTTTGTATTCTCAAATTTGTTGTGCTCTGACTTTTCCCTATGTACTGAAACTATAAATAAGATTTCAGTATGATTTTAAAGGAAATTATTTTTGTCAGATCTCTCTCTCTCTATATATACATATATATATATTTTTAGTGCTTCCTGCTAAGTAAATAAAATGTTTCTCTTGTCGGTGAAAACAGTACCTTGTCACACTTTACTATGGTATCAATCTAAAATTATTCCCAATCACATTACTAACTATCCCCATAAGAGAATTAATAATTTGCATGTGTACTCCGGAACTTTATCCGCGAGAATTTTTAAATGATTCTTAAAATATTTTTCATGTTTCTGATTATTACATCTTAGCATTTTATCTCAAGTTCTTGCTGATGACAGAAATATTTGCATAAATGTACATTATCAGAGAATACTTAGAAGATAACTTTCTGCCTAAAAAGAAAATTTATCTCCAGAGGAGAATGTAATTTTTTTGTTAATATGATAGCATACTATTTTATTTCATTTCCCTTTACTATTTTGAAGAATGATCAGCATCTAGCAATTTAAGAAAAATTTTTGAAAATGGCCACTAAAATTTTATTCCGTTCAGTTATAAATCTTATAAACTTAATGTTGGTATAATATTATGCATTTTTTTCAATATAATTAATTTATTTAGACTCGTGTTGGTTTACTGCTGCCAGATGCCATCATTATATTTGAAAAAGTGGAAGGCTCAGCTGTTAATTTAGTTGGACAAGCAAAAGGGTAAGTATATCTTGGCTGCTTTCTTTGCTTTCTGAAATCAATTTAAAATTATTATTTAAAACCAATATTACTTTCTTCAATTAAGTAAATTACACGCTGTCTGTTTTTCCATACAGGAATTTATCAAGAATTGCATAAAAAAACTGCAGTTTTTTTTAAAAGTTATCTTTTTCAGAATTTGTAATTTGAAATAATAAGCATATTAATGTGTTTAAAATTGCAAGTATGTTAGGTAATGTGACTAAAAATATGCTGATATAGTTTGGTTTTGTATTTGTAACTATGTAAAGAAGCTTTTTTTGTAGGTTAATTTGGCTATTCTATTTAGAAAGACGGCCAGACAGTCGATAATTAATCCTGATTGGGATTTTCAAAAGATGGGAATTGGCGGTTTGGACAAAGAATTTAATGCTATTTTTAGAAGAGCATTTGCATCCAGAGTTTTCCCTCCAGAACTAGTTCAACAACTTGGTATTCTTTTTATTTAAATTTAGTTAAAATTAAATTTTTCTAGGATAATTAACTGAAATTTTATATGAAGACTTGAGTTTATTTTAAAATGTATGTTAATAAATTTTCAGTTAAAAATGAATTCTTCAATTTTTTTTTTTATTATTATTGTAAAAATTTATTTTTTAATATTCAAAAGCATTTGATGTATTTCATCCTATATGTATAATGTTAGATCTGTTATATGGAATTATATTATATCAGTAGAAGTAAGTGAAATATCTTTTTGGATACCATAAGATACTTCTTCTTCTTCTTTTTATTTTTTATTTTTATTTTTTTTTAGGTCTGATGCATGTTAGAGGTATACTGCTTCATGGTCCACCTGGTACTGGGAAAACATTAATGGCCCGTCAAATTGGACAGATGTTAAATGCAAGAGAACCTAAGATAGTAAATGGGCCTCAGATTCTGGATAAATATGTGGGAGAATCAGAAGCAAATATCCGAAGATTGTTTGCTGATGCAGAAGAAGAAGAAAAACGAGTATGTGAATATATGTTGTTTAAAAACAAAAATTATTCGCTTTTAAGTAAGATGACCAGATTTTAACATTGGTGAAGCGGGACACCATTGACTGGGAGGGTTCTTGATTAAAAATTTGGTCTATATGGAGCAACAAAAATTTTTATAGAATGCAAAAATAGTATTGTAATATATATATTTTTTTAATTTCAACATTAGTACAATTTACAAATATAATACATTAAAAAAAATCAGGTCATTTTATTCTTTGGCAGATTTCTCATTTTAGTGAATTTTTTTTTTTTTTTTTAGTAGATTGCTGTAGTTATTTTAGAGGTCATGAAATATTTCACAAGAGTGTGTTAAAATTATATTGCATACATTAATTGACTTTCAAAGTCTTAACACTTAATTGTGATTTTTCTTATATGTTTATTTACTGTAGAATAAACACATTCTGTCACAGCAATGGTTCCTGGTAAAGACGGCTTGTATTCCGCAATTCGCAGTTGTTACTGCATTATTGTATGGAACATGGAATATTTCAAAATGATGGAATATTTTTAACCATTTGTTTTCTGTATTTGTATTTTTGCTGATGCCCAAGAATTAAGCTTTTCTTTATCAATATACAGTCAAAAGTCTTTAATCCAAACTCATCGGGACTTCGGCGATCCCGGATTATAGATCATTAGTTTAAATCTGGTAAGATGGCATGCAGAAATTATAAAATTAAAAATATGAAACCGTAATTTATAAAATAATGAGCAATTATGATCTAAAGGGTATCAAAATTTACAAAAAAATAAGCTTAATATTTATTTGTTTACTTTATTAAACATTTCTTTCAAAGCGTGCATGCGTAAAGCATACATTACACATAGCCGAAATTGGAAAATTGCAACCAGAAAACTATTTGATTTGTATTCGTGATATTTATAATGACGAGGAATTTGATTTAAATCATATCAAAGACGGAGTACATTGAGATGAAATACTACTACATTTAGTAAGGAATTATAAGCCGAATAAAATAAAAACATCTGCCCTGAAGATAACGATAGTGCTGACAGATCAACTTCCAGTTCATTTCGTGCTGCGACATCCTCCCCCCCCCTTGCCCCCGCATGCAGAACAGCGTGAAATTGATAAACAGATTTCGGAACGGTTAGATAAACAAAGGATATGCCTTTATCCATTTTTTGTAGCAATTCCACTTTTTGTTGGATGGACATCGAAAGATACTTTCGTTTTGTAGATCCTTTGAGAGCTCCAGCATCGGAAACTCTATTTGACGTAATCGAAAGTTCAAGCTTACTTTTATAAAATTGCTCTTACACTCTGCAAAAAATAATAAGCCGGATCCATTTCGAAGATTAAGGAACAGTGTAATCATCAACATTAACTGAAATAGATAATTAGATAATTTTAGCTTATACCGTTCTTTATACATTAAACGCACATGCGAACGCGAAAACGTATTCTGCACTTGCGCAGACGCATATGCGCAGCCGTAAAGGTCTTGCGCGCACGCATAAATGCCTATGGCGCATGTGCAGAAAGATTTTAGCTTTGAGGTCTGGATTATAGATCATTCCGAATTATGGGTGTCCGAATTAACAACTTTTGACTATTTTTTAATAATGATGCCTCATTAAAAAGATCATTTTCAGAAATATTACTATATGGGAAATTTTGAGTAATATCATTGAATGGTTTCATTCCAATTAAGTTCTTGTTTTAATGTAACCCAATTAAAATGTTTAATATTACTGTTAATGTGTCGTCCACTCTTCTAAATAATCCATGCAGTTACTATAGAACTCTTTAACATGATTCATGATATCTGCATGATTTATTGCACCTTGTTCTTCTAACTGGCTTATACTAGTATATGTAGTAAATGGAAGAAAATTATTTTCTAACCACTCTTAAGACTGAAATTTTAATTTATTAACTTCATTTACTACTTCTATTACCGATACTGTGTCACCTTCAGTAAGTTTTATAACAATTTGAAACAGGACTGCTCGATTGTGTACAAACTCTAACTAAATTTTTTAAGATTCTTTTTCAAAAAACTCTTCTAAAATTCTAAGACATTGATCCTGTGACAGAAAGTAGGATTTCAATGGATCGTATATTTTCAAAATTCTTTTGACAGTTGGCAAAAGAGCTAACCAATGCATTTTACTGTATCCATGTATTTTCTGATCTTCGACTTCTGCAAGTTTCACAAAATTCTTTAAGCATTTCAATGCCTACAGTGCATATATAAAAATAAGAATATATTTTAATAATAATATTTTCCTCATCTACTAGCAACAAATAAGCAGCTGTTTGAATGGTGTTATGTATTATGTGCGCTGCACAACAAACACCAATATGTTTTGATTAAGGTTTTTGTTTAATTTATAAAAAATATTATTTGTACCTCTTCTCACTTTTCCACCAAAATTTGCATTCATGTTACAATATGCAATCATTTTATGTTTTAAATTGTTTTTTCCAAAATATTAATAATAGAACTGAAAATTATTTCGGAAATGTCGCTGGGCAAGGAAACAAAATTTGAAATTATAATTTTTATTCCAGTTTTTGAATCAAAAAATCTAATAATGGTTGGAAATAATTTTGTATCCTTATGATTAGATGCGTCTGAATATATGGATATAAAATAAATTTTTTCTAGATTTTTGTTTAATTCTGCTGTTGACTAATGCTCAGTTTGTCTTATGTATAGTCAGCCCAAACCCACAAATTTTCTCATGGCAAGGAGTGTAAGATTATGCCTGTGGTTTGGTAACAGCCTTGAGCACTTTACAGGTGACAGTGCAATTTATTTCCGCCCACAATTTTGATGAAGAGCACCACAGGGATTCTACCAATCTTCTTCCCCTACCACCAACCTTTTGAGAGGACTTTTGGCTTGCTGCATATTTAGAGTGTCCCTGTGCTGCAAGGACATGATACATTTACTAACATGCATACTTTCTGCAGGATTCGAATCTGGGCCTTTCAGCACAGAAATCAGCGACACTAACCACTATACTGATTAGGCAGCTTTGTTTAATTCTGAAAATGCATATGGGGGAAGCACAAACATTATGCGAAATTGCCTCGGATTTTGTTCTAGCTCGGGGAAATATTTTGTTGAATAAATTTTTGACAACTTGTGGTGTACAATTTATAGATCTAAAGGAATAATTGTGATTAATAGTATGAAAAGACATAGTCCTTCTGCTAATACTAATTTTTTTCCTTCATCTCCATAAGTTGTTTTCTGAAAAATTTCCTGTATTTTGGAAGAAGATGCAGCAGTATTTAAATATCTTTTATGTTTCTGTGTCTTCAAATGTTTTGAAATATCATTCTTCCCACCGTGCAAAATAGAAAATTCACCATTACATTTCTCGCATTTTACCATGTAATAGCTTTTGGCTTTTTTTAATAAAAAGAAATTCACTTCTTCGATCAGGATTGAATTTGAATCCTCTTTTCTTACTCATCATGTTAAAAATCTAAAACTAATTAATTAAAAATTATAAATTATTATAAACATATTGCTTAAAAACACATAAAGTAGGTGCATGATTACATGATCATATTTTATTGTTATAAAGTAACTACATTTTAAAAATTATTTTAATTCTATATTTCTTTCTAAACTCTAGCAATACTAACTTGTATTATTTTTCTTCTGAATTTGCTATAGCATAAGTCATGTTGCTTTCAAGGCCAGTGCTAGACGTTTGCTGCCACTATAAAATATAAATAACAAGAGTACTCTCTGCTAAATTCAAGAAAATTTATGTATTTATGAAATAAATGAATAAATGACTTCTTATTCATTCTTCATGAATAAATGAATTAAAAAATTCTGATTTTCATATTTCTTTTAATTATAGTTAGGTCCTAACAGTGGATTACATATAATTATATTTGATGAGATAGATGCTATTTGCAAAGCCAGAGGATCTGTGGTAAGTTTTTTATATGTTGTTTGATAGTTTTTAAAGTACTAATATTAAAGAAACCACTTTCATTAAAAAATTAGAAAATTTTTTATGGTAAACTTTAGTTTTGTAAGCGAATTCCAACAAATAAGTGCATGGGGCTTTCTTGTAAAAAAGATAGCAATTTATACAGTTTTTTTTAATAGAAAAATTATACAGTTTAAATAATTTATAAAAAAAAGAGCACTACTTGATATGTTATATTTTATTAAGTTTTTAAGTTTGTTGTTGCATGTGTACATCTTTAAAAAGATGCAGAAATAGCAGACGTGATATATTGTTTCAACTCCATTAAACCATAAATAAAAATAATAAAGCATTATCTTTTGTGTATCCCCCTCTAAAAAATATATGCTGCAGGGTAGGACTTGATGTTAGCTGCCCATCCTGTTCACATTTGAGGAAGAGTTTCTTCAAAATAATCTCTCTCATCAATATATGTATGTAGTGTTGCTCCATTTAATTTTAATATTAAATTATCACTGTCTTCCTCAGTTTGTGGCATCAATCAAAGATTGAATGAAATAAGGCTGTGAAAGTAATCTCTGTGCAATTAAGAGAAAGTCTTTATAACTGCATATGCTAACCTCTTCAAATTTCATCACACCTTTTATTAGACATTTGTTTATTTATTATTATAAATTGTTGAAACTACAGGGTGGCCTATGAAAAAATAGCCTGTGTGGAACCTGCCTTAAAAAAGCACTACTTTGTAATGGGCAATTCTGAAGTCCTAAAAAAAAAAAAAAAAAAAAAAAAAAAAAACAATTGACAGTCTTAAGCAGTGTTTTAAATTTATGCTTTTAGAAAAAGTTAAAATTGAGGCGGAATTTGCATTCTGTATCATTTAGGTATAATATAGTTTAAGGCAAAACCTGAAAAGTATTCAGAATGCAACAAAATGTATTTATATGGCAATCTAAGTATGTGCATACATAGTAGCAAGAGCTGATTTCTGCCTTCAAATTCAAAGGTCATTTTTCTAATTGGTGCTTGTTTTTGTTGCATTCGAGTTTATTTTTTTCCTTGCATCATAATGAGACTGTGGAGTTTGTGAGTTGATGAAAAAGAAAGCACTGCATTTATTTCTTCAAAAATTAGAGTTTTGCCCAACACTGGTAAATACAAAAATTTGAATTCCACGATGTACTTTTTAAATGATCAAAATTTGTACAAGATGCAGAATTTTACAATTCCCTGATGTTTTTAAGCAAAAAAAAAAAAAAAAAAAGATTGCTAAATACAGGGGGAAGAATGACAAAGTATGCAGTGTCAGTTTGTGCAGTTACAAATCGCTTGTGTATGTGAAGTGAACAGTTGGAATAAAAGAGAAGCATTTTATTATGGTTGTTTATTGTGTTTTTAGTTTTGTTAAATGGTTGCTGTTTTATGTAATGCTTAATGGGCCACCATTTTTGAAAATAGCTGTTGTCTTTCACTTCTTATCTTGACAAAAAAATTAGTCACCTCTGTTTAGCAACTTTTCAGGAAGGGGATGTGTATAATCAGAAGTTTCCTTCGTTGCAATGATAGAGCTGTCAAAGAAAAGAGAATGTATTCAGACATAATTCTGTTTTATACTATAAGATATTTCTCTCACCTTCTTGCTGTGCCTTCGTGGTGTAGTGGTTTTGCACGCTGGGCCAGTATTTCAGAGGTCCATGGTTCGATTCCCAGCGAAGACAATTGCCAATTTTTCATCTCTCTTGCTTCCAAAAAATACCTAATGTTTGTATAGTGGCACCTGAACTAAAAAAGGTGGTGGATGATGTTTCGCCACACCCAGGATTTGGCGATTGGGTCCCCTAAAATAACCCCAGTCACCTTTTAAAAAAGGGAGTATATAAGGCATTTTTCCCACTTTCCTAGCGTGCCTTCATGGTATAATGTTTCTGCACACTCCTGACGAAGGTTGTTGATAATTTTTCATCTCTCTTGCTTCTTAAAAATACTAATGTCTCTACAGTGGTGCCCGAACTAAAAGGGTGATGGATGATTTTCTCCAAACCCAGGATTTGGCAATTGGGTCCCCTAAAAACCCCAGTCGCGCTTTAAAAGGGGGAGTATATAAGGTATTTCTCCCACCTTCTTGCCTTGGTGTAGTGGTTCTGCACGCTGGGCCGGTATTCCAGAGGTCCGTGGTTCGATTCCGGAAGGCAGTTGCTAATTTTTCATCTCTCTTGCTTCCAAAAAATACTTAATGTCTCTGCAATACAAACTCAAAATATATATTATTTTAATATATTTGCGGCTTAATAGTACATGTACACACAAATAGATTGCATAGTAGTACATGTACACATGATTAGATTGCATGACGGTTAGTGGAGAAAAATGAAGCATTAGAATTTGGAATTCAAACCAATGTTTTGTGTTTTCAGAAGACATTTAGTATGTAGCTCTGTTTAAAAATCTTTAGTGAAATTTGGGCACATATAAATTTATTAATTTTGCCAATAAATTGCAAATTTCAAATTTTGTCATACCTTTTTTTATGAATAATAAATGGGATATTTTTTCATAGGCCTTATATAACGATTTGTGATTCATCTGTTACCAAAACAGAAAGGGAAGCAATTTATTATGTAGTAAATTTTCAAATTTTAAATCATCTTGCAACTGACCAAGTTTCTGCAACTGTGTGAAAGCATTTTCATATACATAAATCTCCCATAAAAACTAAGAAAAATGAAACTGCAGTTATGAAGTTGGTATTGTTTGGAACAAAAGGGTTAATTGTCATATATATGATATTGTCAAGTCAAAATTAGTAAAGGCTGTGATAATATAGATAGAAAATAAGTCACAAGAAAGAGTATTAGTAGATGGAAATGTCAGGAAGCATTAAGAATTTATAGACAAATTAAAGAAAAGAAACCAAACAGTTCCTCTCAGTTAAACATAAAATTTGAATTTTCTTCAAGTATACTTTGGATAATGAAGTTTTTTAAAAGGCAGGCAGTTCAGAGTATAAAAATTAAAATTAAAACTGTATCCGCTGATGAATCAGCTGCCTAAGTATTCCTGCAAAAGTTGCTGAAGATGTAGGATACATTTCTGATCAAGTGTGGAAATCAGATGAAAGTGGTTTCTTTTGGAAACAAATGCTGAATGGAATGTGCATAGCCAAATTGCAGAAAATTGCTAGTGATTATAAAGTAGCTAAGGATCATATAACTATCTTTGCTTCAAGCTTTAGGACATTTATATTGAAACAACTGCTAGTAAATTCAGCCATAAACTCAGGTGTAGCTATCTATAAACTGGAACTGAAGGATGAACAAGATGGCTTTCTGTTTCATAAACCATCATTATGGCCATTCCTTTTTTTATAGGATGGTTTATTAAATGTTTTGATCCAGAAGTTGGACGTTTTATGAATGTAAAAGGTCTCGAGTTTAAAAGTTTTTCCCATTCTTGACAATGAACTTAATCATCCTGTTTTGGAACACTTAAACCGCAAATTTTATTTTTGCCACCTAATTCTACATCTTTACTAAACCATTAGACCAGAATGAGCATTGCAACACATTTTAGAGCAATTGAATGATGAAACATTAACAGTCATTGATGTATGGACGAAATTCTCAGTTATAGATTGTATCAAACAAGTTCAGTTAGTTTTAACTAAATTAAAATATGTAAAGTATTTTATGTTAATTAACCAATTATTATGATTTAAACCTTTACTATAAATTCCTGACCATAGCCTGACCAGGATGTAAATTAGTTGGTAGAGTATTTAATTCTAGGGTTTTGAATGTTTTAGTGTTATGTCTTTTGGCAGTATAGCCTTCAGTTTTATGTTGCGAGTATATTGCCCATCTCTGCTGGTGATTATCCCGGCTTCAGCTATTTTGCTAGCTGATGTTAAAATGCATAAAGAGCTAGCTTAAGTAGACCACTTTGTGTAGTCATCAATACATTACCTTGAATTTGAAACTGTAACTTAACATTATAAAATATTCACAAGTGCTGATGTTTTGATTGTAAGCACAAGTGGTAGCTTCAGTTTAATTTCTAGACATAAGTAAAAGTTTACTTACAGCCTTTTTAAGACTTTGTGATAATATTTGAGACAGAGCAAAATCTTGCTTGTCAGTCTAATAGGGTCTGAAGGACTTTGATGTAATTTCCGCATGCTAGGACTCTATAAACCAGCAATTGAGAATGAAAAGAGGTTTGACCACAATGTGTAAAAGGTGCCTTATATGACCATATTTCCCAGTGTGATACATTTGGTGGAGAAGGATTCAAAGATCTGTCATTTGAAGATATTGATTAATTGTTAGTTTGCAAAGATGGAATATTAGAGATGGTCCTTAAGACTCCTAATCCCAGAGAGCATAGTGATAATGAAGAAAATTATCCAGTTCTAAAAGCAAATTAAATATTAAAAAAGAAGATAACGCTCTGGAACTAGCGAGAAAATTGGATAATTATTTTGCCAATGTGACTCTAATGAGAAACTCGCTGGGAAGTTTCAGCATGAGCTAAAGTTGTTCATAGCCTCTTACATTGAATTATGTAAGGGACTAACCAAAACACGAGCACAACAATTAATAACTGAACTCTATTGATAGCAGTGATATTCCATTCAGATTTAAATGTGTATACTGTGATTGTCCAAAAGTGAAAATGAATAGATCTTGTTATGTGTAAGACTTTTTATTGTTGTTCATGAAAGATTTTTCATATAAAATGCAAATTTGCTTTAGTACATTTTTATTACATGTGCATTATGTTGAAATAAAATAATAAGCTTAACACAAATATTTTCAGATAGTTAAATAATATTTTCAGATGATTTTTTAATTCATTTTGCTAACTTTTTAAATCTGGAACTAGACTACTTTTTTCCCATGGATACAATGCCTTTGTTTACTTGTATTCTTGAAAAATGTATCTATCATGTAATGACAGAATTAGGTGTACCTGAACTTCATATTTTTAAATTTTGCTAAAAATTTCAGAATATTTATTTTAATCGCATATGTAATAATTTCTAGAAGTTTCTAAATTTGAGTAAGAATTAGTTTTATATACATTTAAAAAATAGTAATGTCTTTTTATGTCGAGCACATCCCTTTTTAATTTTGTAATTTTGAAGTAGTCGAAGAAGGAGCATAAAAAGATTTAAGAATTAGACATTTAGTAAAGATTAAATTATTTTTAATAGGAGAAACTTTCAGAATAAATATGCATTCAAAGACATTTTATGCATTGCATAATGTCTTTGAAAACTTCAGTGCAAATGCTGCCTTGCAAAATTTCAATAATAAAATTGACTTTGTAAAAAGTTACAAAACTGATGTATATTGAATTAATTTCTTGTTAAGCAGATTAAGTTTTAAATTATTGTTTATTCTATGCTAAGCAAATCTTAAATGTTTTTGCCTTTATTTTTATATTTGAATATTTTAAGTGATTTAATTTTTAATAATAAATTTTCTTATAGGCTGGAAACACAGGTGTTCATGATACAGTAGTGAATCAATTGTTAGCAAAAATTGATGGTGTTGAGTCTTTAAACAATATTCTTGTTATTGGTATGACTAACAGGAAAGATATGATTGATGAAGCTTTGTTGAGACCAGGACGATTAGAAGTTCAGATGGAGATTGGTAGGGTTTTCTTTATTGAAAATTTTATTTTTAATTTAGAAATATTTTAAATTATAATTATGGAATATGTAACATATTCATTTTAAAAATCCTGTGAAAGCTGTCTTCTATTCTGAAGTGGCTGTCATGATTTGATTCTGCTAAATAATAATACAGATTCGGAATCATTGGAAATTTGGCAATTCTTTATGGGGAAATTTTGGATTTTAGATCATCAGTTTAAATAATCATCTTACTGTAGACATATCAAAATTGCAGCTTCGCTTGTTGTTCATGTCAGATACAAAAATGCTAACTCCAAAAACAGGACTGGTGTGGCCATAACAGGTGGAAGACTTCAGAATTGACAAAAATTTTAGAATTTACAGTAGCACTAAGCTGTAAAAATTAGGGATGATAAAATTTTTAGAGTATAAGAATGTTAATTTTTAGAATGGAAGAAATACACTGGGCAACAGAATTTAGGGGCAGTAAAAGTTTTAGAATTTAGTTGGGTACTAAGCATTAGAATTTAGGGCCTTCAGAGGCATGGGATGGCAAATGTGCAGTGTTGGCATGCCCACTTCGACAACCTCTCAAGGGTCAAAAGTGTGATCCTGGCCAATATCAATACAGTGCCAGTCAATATGTTGTTATTGTCTATGCTGCTACTTTCTAGCCAGTATGTGTTTGAATGTGTCATGCAGGAGTTTAATTTGGGTGAAAAATCACAATTATGGACAACTGCCCTTTTGTTAGATATTGCAGTCAAAAGTCTTTAATCTGGACTCGTCAGGACTTCGGCGATTCTGGATTATAGATCATCAGTTTAAATCTGGTAAGATGGCATGCAGAAATTATAAAATTAAAAATATGGAACCGTATTTTATGAAATAAAGAGCAATTATGATCTAAAGGATATCAAAATTTACCAAAAAAAGAGCTTAATATTTATTTGTTTACTTTATTAAACATTTCTTTCAACGCTCATGCGTAAAGCATACATTACGCATAGTCAAAATTAGAAAATTTCAACCAGAAAACTATTTGATGTGTATTCGTGATTTTTATATTGACGAGGAAATTGATTTAAATCATATCAGAGTACATCGAGATGAAATACTACATTTAGTAAGGAATTATAAGCCAAATAAAATAAAAACATCTGCCCTGAAGATAAGGGTAGTGCTGACAGACCAACTTCCAGTTCATTGCGTGCCGTGACATTCCCTCCTTGCCCCGGCAAAGCAGCATGAAATTGACAAACAGATTTCAGAATGGTTAGAGAAACAAAAGAGCCTTTATCCATTTTTTGCAGCAATTCCACTTTTTGTTTGATGGACATCGAAACATGCTTTCCCTATTTAGATCCAGCATCTGAAATTCTATTTGGCATAACCGAAAGTTCCAACTTACTTTTATAAAATTGCTCTAACAGTTTGCAAAAAATAATAAGCCGGATCCAATTAGAAGATTATGGAACAACGCAATCTGCAACATTAACTGAAGTAGATAATTAGATAATTTTAGCTTAGCTTATACCGTCCGTTATATATTAAATGCGCATGTGTAAACATATTATGCACATGCGTACACTCATATGCGCATGCGTAAAGGTATTATGGGCATGCAATGCGTTGACGCATGCGCAGAAAGTTTGTAGCTTTGAGGTCCGGATTATACATCATTCCGGATTATGGGTGTCCGGATTAACGACTTTTGACTGTATACTCCCCATTTCTAGATTTTCTGGAGGTTCCCCCACTTCCCCTGGTTTTTCAAATTTTGGACTTTGTACTGTAATTTTAGTGCAGTAACCACTTGTATATTGAAGATATAATGAATTTCCTTTTTCCCCTTGCATTTTAGGTTTGCCTGATGAAAATGGCAGATTGCAGATTCTAAATATCCATACTGCACGCATGAGGCAGCATAATAAATTAGCCAGTGATGTGGATTTGAAGGAGTTAGCAGCACTGACAAAAAACTTTTCTGGTGCTGAAATTGAAGGTTTAGTTAGGGCTGCTCAATCTACTGCAATGAACAGATTAATAAAGGTGATTTTTAATTTTATTTTTAGTTATATTAAAATCCTGATTATCTTGATGTAGTTTAGAGATTATAAATTTATGAATAGTTTCAATATTTATAAAATATCTCTTAGTGTAAAGCTTTTAAAATAAAAAAAAAAAAAATTGTAAAACTAAAAGTGTTGTATAACCCTTTACATATAAAATGCTGATTAAATATTGTTTATTATAATTAAGTTACATTTATTTAGAAGTAATGTTGTGGAATACTTGTCCATGATAAAGTTTAAATTGTGAAAAACTTTTCAGTTTTTAGGTACTGAAATTTAATATTTTTTATTCAGCATTCTCTAAATCAAATGTACAACTTTCTCTAAAATTAGAAAAACATTATGTGATCATCCTAGTCCTATTTTGGCTCATAGTGGGGAAACCCTTGAACCTCATTCCATGGTATTATTAGATTTTTGTGTTAAATGCCTCCATAGTTAATAATGTAAAATGAATTAGTCCTTTCACATCCAGAAATTCCCAGTATAAGGCATTTCAAGTACCTGTGTCAAAGCATTATATTAGTAAATAATGAAAAAATAAGTGGATTTAATTTCAATAATTTATTTATTTTAATCATGAAGCACTGTTTGTAATCATGAAGCACTGTTCACTTGTGTATCTTTAGATCTATGCATCATTTCATCTCTGTCTGCTGTACTCCTATTCAAGTTACTAGTAAAATATTTTGTGTGACACGTAGCTCCTGTTATATATCATTGTACTCTCGGTTTATTCATTTCACAGGTTTATTCATTTCCTTCTTCTGGGTGCCTTTGGGAATTGTAAATGGGTAAACAAGGCTGGAGTAACTTGTGCTATGAAATCTCATTTCATGTGATAAATAGAGAACACAAAGATATCTCAGATAAATCTTTTGAATACTAGTTCTAAAATTCTTCCAAAAAATTTTTTTTTAATATCAGCTGAAAGATATTTCTAACATAGATGAAAATGCTTTTGCCTGTAAGATCTCTAGCCTTAACTCCCTGGATAATGACTTCTTTATCCAGTCATTGGACGTGAGATTTTTTGTCATGTAATGTATGTTACCTTATTATTTAAAATATTTATCTTTACTTTAATGATATAAATATCTTAATAAATGAAAGTTTATGAAAACAAAACTAATTATACAAATTTGGTTAATAGATATTTAAATACACTTCATAAGCAGATCCAAAAAACTATGTTACATAGAGGGTTAAAAGTGATAAAAGTAATGGAGTCTTATAAAGATTAATTATTTGACTCTGTTTGAATGCTGATGGTATGGAAAAAGTTATACTGAAATATCATAGGATAGTGGCCAAATGATAAAGTTGCTGAACCCTGGTAGGTTTGATTCCAGGTGAACAGGCTGCTGCATGGGTGTTTTCATAGTTTCCTCCATGCATCGTGTGGGTACGAGCGAATTTCCCTCAGAAAGTCCTCCACATAGGTATTCCTTCCCTAAGGCAGATAGACCTTGCATGCTTTTCCATAAACAAATAAACCAAACATTCTAGGGAAATTAAGATGCTTCATAGGTGTTTAAATTGTGTCATTATAGTATGAAAGGAATAAATGTGCCTGAATGACTATGGTCATTTTACAAAAGGCTTGTATTTTCCTGTTGACTGAGAAAATAGGCTCTCTTGTACTGGCAGACATCCTATCAAACTTATGCCAATCATTTCCAGTGGAATTTCAAGGGACAGATGGTCTTTATTTATTTAGATAATCATGGATCACTCTTTACATAGTTAGATTTAAAGAAAACATAATTTCAAAGCTTGAACTCATATTTATGTATCTTACAAAAATATTCATTCAAACTTGTGCTAGTCATTCTAATCCAAAATCCCATACGACTTTTAAAATAGCAACAAAATAATCATTTTCTCTATGAACTCCTCAACATGACATAAATTTTCTTAGATATGAATCTAAGTCTTTTCCTGTGGTTTTGCTATCTTTTTTATTATGTCATTTCGCTAAGTCCCAAGTTTTTCAATATTTTGAATATGTGCACCAGTATTGAAATGTGTAAAATAGTATTTTTGATTAAATTTGAAATGTTCAAATCCTGCGGCTCATAATTCATCAGATTTGTTGGCCTTCTAAGAATCTTAAACAATTGCAGATTTTAAGAAAAGGGGGGGGGAATTGAATACTTCCACACTGGCTTATAAAGAATTAGTCAGTGTTACATAAAAACCAAAACAAAGATTTGGAGTGGGTTGTGACATCATGCTTGTTCATTATTGGCATTAAGTCACACTGTTTGGTAATAGTGGTTTTTTTTTTTTTTTTTTTTTTTTTTTTTTTTTTTTTTTTTGTTGTTGTTGTTTGCTGAAATGCTGGATGGAAAAATACATAAGTACCAATTTTGCTTTTCATGAATCGGTTCACATGAGTGCACTGCAACCTTGTAAAACCTTAGAATAACTAAGAGTAAAAGTGTTTTACAAGAAGAGGTTAATTTAAATTGCTGTCCAGAGCATTACTGCAAGTAATATCCAAATAAAAACATTCTTGAGGCTGTCAATTTTAACTCTGAAGAAATAAAAACTACTAAAACAAGAAGAAATTTGTATATTTGTGGGTTATCTGGAAATGGAAACTGTGGTATCAGTTGCTGCAGGGTAACTTTGACAACATTCTAGCTGACAATTTTCTTATCTTTTTCTCCTATTTTCTGTTCTTACTGTCACTTCTAATATAGCTTCAAAGTAAGGAGAAAAAAAAGTTTTGCAGTATGTGATTGGCTACACTTTGTTTTGAACTCATTATCTCTGGACCTGAAGCTGTACTGTACTGTCAAGATCTGGGAGGAAATGAAGTATTATTCTTCTTGCACTGCTGAAAATTAAGGGCATGTTTACAGGAACAATCAAACATTTATTGGCCGTTTCTGTTTTTTAATAACCCACAAGTAACAAAATTAACTAAATTTTCATTGTTTGTCATTGTTAAGCTATCTATATATTTTCTTCTCATCTCCAGTATCTAAATTGTTTTAAGGGAATTCTTTTCCCATTAATATTGTTATGTGTATACAATATAAATTATGGATACAGGTTTGTAATGGATTGAATGCACACAGAACCAGGGATAGTTTGATCAAATTTATTTTCACAAAAGAAATGCTGTACAGTTCTGGACAGAATAAGAAATGCTGTACAGAATACATACAATAAGAATAAGAAATAATACTTATTGTATGTACAGAATACATACAATAAGAATAAGAAAATGCTGTACAGAAATCAGAGCAATCTCTCAATACTCGGAACTCTAAACTTAAAAAAATAATAAAGAAAATGAGAATGGACAGTCTCTCCGGTCTTATGTATATTGCCCCTGTCTGTCGAGAAATATCCAGTACCTTAGATTTGTCAAGAAAAGCATATAGTTACAGTTGTGTAGCAATTACCTATTAGTTACTCAGGGATTCAACCAAAATGTTGCCATATAGTCGTCAAGGTCTAGCAGCCAAAATTAGTTGCCAAAAGCATCGCCAGCTAAGCATTTACCTCAGCATTAAATGAACTTACCCCTCTAGCCTCATTTTTCTCACTAAGCTTCGCTATCTTAAGGCATTTCATGTTATATATGAATATATATACATAACACATTTTACATGAGATACTACAATTTTGCATATATTTTGCATATTTTCCTAAAATTAATTACATATGTACAAAATTCATAACAGTATTCTTATAAACAATATGTATTTTAAAATTTCATTTTTTCAGAAACTGCATAAGCTAGTTTCTTCTTTTGTCTCTTGAAAATTTAATTGAATAAGAAGAGAAGCATGCCAGTGAAAAAATTGTGTGAAACAGCAACCTTATTTTGGTGTAGATTTTGAATAAAACACTATCAATTTTGAGGGTAATCAGACGCAGGTTTTTCGTCTTCAGGAGAAAAACAGTTCTGTGTTAAAAATAAAGGTTACTGTTTTACTGTTTTGCTTATTTTAAATCTTAATCTTTTGTAATTAAAAAATTATTAAAATAATTCTACTTAATATACATTAATATACCATTAAATAATTTATGAATATTATGTATGGAATATCTGTGCAGAGACGAAATACTACATTTAAATCTGAATTGTTAGCAGAATTATTATAACATTTTTCAGAATAACTTTTTTTTTATTATTATTCAGGCAGCCAGTAAAGTGGAAATTGATCCTGATGCATCAGAAAAAATCAAAGTAACTCGAGCTGATTTCATGCATGCTTTGGAATATGATATTAAACCTGTAAGTCTTAATAATGTTTAAGATATTATATGCTTCAAAAATCTATATCATTACTATTTTAGAATGTTATAATTTGTTGTTTAATTGTTTTAAAGTTGGTATCAGTATCTCAATAAGATGTAAATCTTAGAAAAAATATAGACATTTTGATTACTGTTATATCAAAATGTTTTTTCTCTTTTCCTAAGAATCTCCAACTATGCATTTTTAATAGGCATTTGGAACAAGTGCAGAACAAGTTGAAAGGTTGGTTGCCCAGGGTATCATTAATTGGGGAAGTCCTGTTGCTGGCATTTTGGAAGATGGAGAGCTGTTTATACAACAGGCTCGTTCTCCTGATACGAGAGGTTTAGTCAGTGTTCTCTTAGAAGGTAAATTCATTTAAATTGCAATAGCTTTTTCCCAGTCCATATTAATTTATGATGGAAATAAGTTTTATTTTCTTAATCATTATCACACCAGATTTCATATATAATGTACTTAAACTATATTTAAAAACATTGATTTTATAACTCTATAATTATGTATTTTAGAATATTCTATTTAAACAAATATTACTTTTTGCCAGTTAATGTTAAAAGTTTTATAACATTTTTTGAAAAAAACCTGTCCAGAATCTGTAATTCGTGACTTAAATCTACAGAAATATGTCGGTCGTTCTGAAATTTTTTAGATATGTACAGATGATAAATGACAATCAAAAATTAATGGTTAGATTTGAAATTATTTTAGCCTAGCAGATTATTTTTTATTGTCCAGTTGCAAGTGGTTTAATGTAGGAAAACTTTTTGTCAGAGGAAAAAATGAACTTGATGCAAGAACATTAGCATGCTATGATTTTCTAAAGTGAGATTAAATTGAGAAGAATGCATTCAACATTTTCAATTAACATAACATTTGGAAATGAAGGTCTGTCTTGTGCTACTATATTCAGATGGTTTACAAACTTTCACAGAAGTCGCAACTCTCTTCAGGATGAAGAACACCTAGGAAGTATGTTGTCTGCAGGAATCCCGGGTAATGTCTGCCATAGAGAAAATGTTAATCGATGATAATTGCTGTACTACCAAATGATATGAAAGGAACTTAATATTGGATCTGCCACCATATATAAAATCAGTCATGAAGAACTGCCTATGAAAAAATTAGTTTGCCTTTGGGTTTGCCGTAATTTAACTGAGCACCAGAAAGAGGAGCATGTCAGAATCAGTAAAGAAACCCTTAAATTCCTTAAAGATGGTAGCCACCACATTATTTCTAAAACTGTGAATTGGTGGTGAAATGTATATACAGTAAGCTTAACGCTGTTTCATTTAGCGCTGTTTCGGTTTAGCGCTCTTTTATTTCAACCCGGGTATTCTCCGAAATTGTGCGCAGCGCTAGGTTTCCAAATAACATATCGGAAACAGTGTAGTTGTGTTTCTTGCTTTGTGGACACATTTTTATCATTTGAAACATTTGTTGACATTATTGTAAGTTTAAATTTGTATAATACTATAACGATTAATACAGTGACAAATATTATGATCTTTAGTTTTTATCATGGGTGATAATAAAAAACAAGAAAAGAAAGCAACCAGAAAAAGCATTTCACTGGAAACTCAAATGCAAGTGATTAGAAGATTAGATTCTGGTGAACGTCAATCTAAAATTAGTGCTGCATTGATTTTGGCAACTTCAACAATAAGGACAATTCTTAAGAATAAAGAAAAAATACTGTCATCGGCAACTGCAACTACGTCAAGCTCTGCAACTAGAATTGCCCGTTCTAGAAATAACATTATAGAGGAAATGGGAAAACGACTGTCTATATGGATTGGCGACGAAATTGAACGCAATATGCCATTAAGCCAATCTATCATAATGCCTTCTTGACAAAAAGGCAGAAAATTGGAAACCCAGAATAAACAATGATCTGACTGAGAATTTTATTTGTTTTTAAAAGTATATGCGTTTATATTGTTTTTATTTTTGTAAGAAATAAATGTTTGATTTTATTTTTATTAAACAAAAAACATTATTAAATTTAATGCCTAACCATTTTTTTTCTGTCTTCCCCTAACCCCATTATTTACATGTTAAGATAGCCTCGCTTAGCGCTGTTTCGCATTACGCTCTACTTCGATGGAACGTATCCCCCGCGTTAAGCGGGTTTTTTTTTTTTTTTTTTTTTTTTTTTTTTTTTTTATGTTCCAACACTTCTAAAACTGTAACTGGTGATGAAATGTGTATACCATTTTTTGATGTTCCAACTCATGAAAAAAGTAAAATATGAGTCTTTAAAGGTGATCCCATGCTCACAATGGTGAAAAGATAGCGTGCTGTAAAAAAAAATAATATATGCTATTTAGACAGTTTTGTCATAATAAGGAGGGAATTATTTTGATAGAGAGAACGAATAGAGATGCTGAAGAGATGAACATTTGAATGGCATGCTGAATTGTGATAATGGAGAATATGAGGCTTTCACAGAAAGCTTATTAATCTACAGCCACAGCCAAGATGAGATTGCTCGACTGTCACTGAAAGAAGTTCTTGAAGGAATTAACAAGCTAAAAGATAATAAAGCTCCTAGTTCTGATGCTATTCTGTCTGAGTACTGAAAAATGGTGGAATAGAAGCTACTAAGAAATTATATGGCTTAATACAGACAATATGGGATCAGGAAATGATACTCGAGGAATGGAAATTGAGTGTAACTTCTGTAATACACAAGAAAGACGATATACTTGAATGTTTTAATTGTAGAGTAATCAGCTTGCTTTGTACAAGTATTCTCAAACATACTATTCAGTAGACTTTCTATACATATGGGAAGAATAATTGGAAACTATCAAAGCTCCTTTAGAAAGGGAAGATCTACCTTAGAGCAAATATTCAATATTCGACAGGTTATGGAGAAGACAAAAGAATTTAGAATTGATACTCACCACCTCTTCATTGATTTCAAAACTGCCTATGATAGTATTCATAGAAAAGCTCTCGTCGCAGCCTTAAGCAGACTAGTGCCGGGAGAACGAAGCATATTCACGGGGCCAGACCAGCTGAAATGGATTGTCTTCACCGGCCCGCACATTTTCAGCAGTTAAGCCTAATTTTTTTAAAAAAATCATATAAAATCAGCATTTTGACATTATGACTTTAATTTTTGAAGTTGAGTATTTAATGTGTATTAATATAAAGAATATCACATTAATAGAAATAAATTAAGCAGCCAAAATATTAAAATCCTAACTATACACACAGAAATAAATAAAATGAAAAAAAAAGTACAAATACGAAATTAAAAAAAAAAAAAAATTATCTGTTGGTAATTAAATTCCAATTTAAAAACTCTGCTATGTGTGAAATAATTCAAAACAAAGATCGACACACAGTCCTAAAATTGCATATTTTTTACTAAAAATACATTGTTTGCTTTTGCTTGGTTTTAGCGAACACAACACATCTTCTCCTACCTTTCCTTTTCCATCAACGTAAATTTTCGGAAACTGTCCTTCCAGTTAGACGGAAAGGTGGAGTGTCTGGCGATTTTGGACACATTTTTTAGTTTTTAAGTATCTCTTAGCTATGGCTAATGCAATGAAACTGAATATAACCCCAACACATGCCCCAAAACTTCTTCAAAAGACACAGAAATATTTCACCCTTATATGTAAAGTAAATACATTATATATACCAAAATATAATGCATGTGTCATTATATATAATGACCATTCAAAGCATTATATATAATGACCTATTAAATCGATTAAGAAAAAACAAAAATGCTGGCTTTTTCCTGAGAAATGCGAGCGAGTAAGACGCATTACGCGTCGAGAAAGCTGATAGTCTTTCCCCTTCTGTAATAATGTTGTAATGTTATTTTTTAATTAACCAAGAAAGCTTATGTTAAGTTTCAAAATAAATATAAAAACAAAGAAAAAAAAATCCTAATGAAATAAACAAAAACACCTGTGTCCCTTTAATTCACAGGTGCACTTATAAAGAGCCGTGATTCCTAATTTATTTCAATAAATCTGTCAAAACCAGAAGCACAAAACAGAAACTAATGCCAGTACATGAAGGTCAAATGCCGTATGAATCAGTCCATGTGAAAACAGTTTCCACTTAGCTTCATCTACTGGCTTTTAAAAATTCAAATAAATCGTTCCATTTTAATGTTACATGTATGTGACGCTAAGCTGGTAGGAGCAGAATCGTTGTATCGTGTATACGGGATGTTGGGCTCGTAGGAGTGGAATTGTTTCGTCGCATATACTTGACACTGGTCCTGAACGGCTTAAGGGAGTTAAAAATACTCAAAAAATTATTAAAGCCAATCGCTCTGACACTAGGTGAAACTAAAATCGTGATAAAACTACAAATCAACTGAAATTGAAAATGGCATTCAACAGGGTGATGCGTTGGCATGCCTTATCTTCAATCTGGCACTTGAAAAATAATAAGAGATTCAAACATCAATACCAGAGGAAACATCTTTAATAAACTTGTACAATTATTGTCTTTTGCTGAAGACATAGACATTATTACTAGAATACTGACATCTCTAAAATGGGCTTTTATATCTCTAGAGAAAGAGGCTGTCAGGATGGGCCTGAGATTTAATGAAAATAAAATATATGTCATGCACTAAAACAGATTTCAAGGATGCTCTCCTAGAAATTGGAGAATATAAATTTAAAACTGTCGACAGCGCCACATATTTAGACCTTGAAATTAACAACAGAAACAATATTACTTACAGAAATACAAGAGAGAATCACTGCAGCTAGTAGATGCTTCAATGGAATACGAAGTAAATGAAATCAAGTGTAATTCAAAAAAAAAAAAAAGGTTTTACTGTGTAAGAGCCTTATAAGACTAATTTTGACATATGCATGTGAAACTTGGACCATGACGCACACCAGTGATGATATGTTGGGCATTTTTTAAAAGTAGATTTTAAGAAGTATTTTTGGAGGAATGCAAAAAAAAAAAAAAAAAAAAAAAAAATGATGTGTGGCTTAGAAGATCAAATTTGGAGCTGTATTGCTCATATAATGAACTTGACATCATTAATTTCATTAAATGCCAAAGAATAAAATGGCAGGCCATGTTATCGTAATGGATGAAGACCATACAAAAAAAAAAAAAAAAAAAAATATCTTCAATGCTAGACCAATAGAACACACACCAAAAAAAAAGGGGGGAAGACCAAATCTAAGATGGCTAAACTGTGTAAAAAATGACCTATTGGTTTTAAAATCCAAAAATTGGAAAATACTAGCAGGGAGAAGATTGGCCCAGAAAAAGCTTCTTGAGAAGGCCATGGTCTACCCTGAGAAGTTGGGCGATTGAAGAAGGAAGGAAAGGGACAGTTTAATGTAAGCATGATCTGAATTAGGATATATATGAGACTGTTAAAGATCCTTAGGTTTCTCAGATTTGAGAAGAGTTATGCAGAGGCATGCTGTCTGATCTGGTTACCAGATTTGTAAGACTGTTGTATTATTTGAGGGTGAAGAACATACCAGTGCATGCCTAAACAGGTAATCATAACACAGTTTGGAAGGCAATCATCTGTTTTGTTAAATGATTGTTTATCAGATGGTATTCCAGTTTGTATTTTCTTCTTTTATTCACAAGCTCTTTGGAAAATGTTCTCTAAGAGGTTATGGACTGACCAACATGACAAAATATAAGAGGTGGAAAATGAACTCATTGACTTGTAAGCCTTTCCCATATTTTAAACTGCAATGTGTCATAAAGTGAGATATTAAAAGAAATGACTTTATGTGGTTCAAAGAAAAATTAAGTTCAAATTCTTATACTCCCTGGCAAACACCTAGTGGTATGAATTAGGAGAGTCCTGAGGCATATATTAATATGATGTTGGTCCCCCCCCCTTTTGCATCGATGACAGCCTGCACACATTTGGGGAGACTTCCCACCAGTTTTTGATATGTGGCCATAGGAATCAGCTTCCAGGCATTCATAGCTGAAGTGAGTACTGGCAGTGATGGTCGATTTAGTAATTTTTAGTAATAACTGCATAATTTGCATTCTAATTCATCCCGAAGAAGTTCTTTGAGATTTAGGTCAGAGCTCTGAGAAAGCCAATTCAGTTTTTGAACACCAATTTCATTAAACCATGGCTGCACAAGTCTTGATATGAATGAAGCAGTTATCATGCTGGAAGAGAAATAGGCCTTCCCCAAAATATTGCCATAGAGTTGGGTGAGCAGCATTGTCCAAAATGTCCACATTTCAGAGTTCATGTTTTCAATCACAGGAACTAAGGGACTCAGCCCAAACCATGAAAAACACCTCCACCATGATGCTGCTACCACCAAACTTTACAGTCAGTGTTTAATGCAGTCACTTAAGAAGCACTTGCTGGGCATCCGCCAAACCCAGATACGTCCATCGGAGTGCCAGATTGTAAAGCGAGATTCGTCACTCCAAAGAACATTTTTTCACATGTCCGCAGGCCAATGAGGTTGAGGCTTTGGACCATTGCAGTTGATGCTTTGCATTCTGGGGAGTGATGTTTGGCTTGTTTGTGAGCCGCTGCACAACCATGAAATCCCAGGTTTTTTAACTCTTTCTGAACAGTCCTGCTGCTAGCTCTAACGCTTGATGAACTTTGGAACTCCTCAATGATTCCAACCAATGACTGCAATTTTGTTCGACTACCCCTTTTTGGAATTCTATGGCTGTGTTTTTTTTTTTTTCCCTCACTTCACAATTACCTCACTCACAGGCCTCTGTAGCATGTCCAGAATTTCATGAACTGATTTCCACAAAGGTGGCATCCCACCATACTGCCACAATTAAAGTCATTAAACTGCTTCGATTTACTCATTGTTATCTTGCAAACGAATAAGCATTACATGACAAACCACTACCAACACTTTTATAGCTTTCGGTTACACATCAGATTATGTTCCCTCCAGATGCACTTCTTTAGGGAGTTGTCTGGATACTTTTGGCCAGATAGTGTATTAACTGTATGTATTGTTTGCAATTACATAGTCTTCCATATATGTAAAAAGAAATTTTGTGATTTAGGCTGTTAATAAAGGTATAAATAATATGTATATAATAATATTTGTTATTAAAGAAAATTTTAGTTTCAATTTAAAGATTGTTTCAAATTCCATTATTTTTGTATAATTTTGCATGTTTCAAAATATACTAATAAAACACTATGTAATAAAATTTATAGCTACAGTTAAGCCGAAAATTAATTAATCAATGAAAAAAATTAATGCCTTTAATTCAGTAGCCAATTTTAGGCTTAATTGTGGTTGTTACCTGGGAACATTTATGCTTATTTAAGTATTTGGACTATTTAATTAACCAAGCCAGCTAGTCCCAGTTATTTCATTTAATCAACATTCTCCTATATGCTTATGTGAAACATGCAAATATTTTAAGCATTTTAATGCTTCTGCTGAGAAGAATTATGCTGTTATCTATTAAACATTTTCCAGGTCCTCCAAACAGTGGTAAGACAGCTTTGGCTGCAAAACTTGCTCTCAAATCAGACTTCCCATTTGTGAAACTGTGCAGTCCTGAAGATATGGTTGGTTATACAGAAACAGCCAAATGCCAGATGATTAAAAAAGTATGTTCAAATGAGAAATAATTTCTTTTTATCTCTTTTCATATTTCTTTTGTATGAAAAATTGTATATTTTATTGATATCTATACACATATTTTCTATTTAAACAGGTCTTTGATGATGCATATAAATCTCATTTCAGCTGCATTCTTGTAGATAGCATTGAAAGATTGTTAGGTAAATTATCTTCTGTTTTCTTTTTAGAAATATTCATATAAATTTTCCTTCTGAAAATAGATTTTTTTTAAAGTTATCGTTCATTAGAAAATAAGAATTATGTGTAAGGAATGCTAATAATATGTAATTCATTGGGTGCTTTGCATACATATTAGTGGTATGGATAATAAAGATTAAAAATGTGCTGTGTTTCCCTATTGAGACTAAAATATTTTTCTGAGAATGATTTGCTCTGATATCATTCATGTATGGAGTAGGAAGTAAATGATTTTATTGATTGTGCTCCTGATGTTCTGGTAAATATATTATCAAGAGCAATGAAATTGTTGATCTGTTTTTAAGGCAGTGTAAAATTGAGCAGTGGAAGTTTTAAAATATTCCAGTGTTGAATTGTGTGACAGATGTGACAGAAAAATTAGTGAAATTGTTTCCATTATGCAAAAACACTATTCTGCTGCTTTTCCTCATTGCAAGAGATTACCAACATTTTAATCTAAGACAAATTTCAACCTTCTGCTTCTGTTCATAATGTATTTTTAAAATGTGTCTTTTTGCATTGCATCAGGACAATAGAACAGCGAAATTTCAAACAATGATCTTAGATAAGTCTTAATGTGAAGCTTGGTGACAATGCAACTGAAAGTCATGAAAAGACAAAACTGGTGTACGGAAAGCTTGTCTTATGTTCAAATGTGTACAGTGTTATGACTGACAGTGAAGATTATTAAATGAGTTAAATATTTTGTGAACCATCTTGTGAAAATTTTATGCAGGAATTAGGTACACAGATGATGTATGCTACATATGTCTCAAAAATATCATATTAAACTAGAGAGAGAAAAAGTGTATACAGTACAAAGTCTGAGAACCAGACGTCCAATATTCGAAATGATCTAAAATCTGGACCTCAAAGCCCCACTGACTTTTTTTTTTTTTTTTTTTTAATACTTTACACATGCGCATTTGATTCCTCCCCTCTGCGCATAATAAAATATGTGGAGAGTCCTGATTCTTAATTTCACTTCGGCAGTAAATAATCTCGTTATTGAAGAAACAATGATTTTAGCATAAATTTGTATGATCAATAATTTGGCTCTGCTTTTAACTATCTGCTTCGCATAGATCTCAAACCGAAACATTCTACATACGAGGCGTATTCGGAAACTAAGTACCATTTTGAAAAAAAAAAAATAGTAAAACAATTTTTTCGAATCCAATTTTATTTTTACATGAAAATACATGTCTTAAACTATTTTTCAACATAGTTTCCGCCAATGATCAAACACTTGTCATAGCGGGTGACCAGTTTTTGATACCATCGTCAAAGAAACTTCCCGCCAGTTTCGATAACCACGACTCCACAGCATTTTTCGTGTCATCATCAGATCCAAAGCGCTTGCCACCAAGCTCGCGCTTCATGTGCAGGAACAAGTGATAGTCGGACGGTGCCGAGTCCGGGCTGTACGGCGGGTGATCGAACTGCTCCCAATGAAACTGTGGAATTAATGATTGAGTGACAACAGCAGTATGGGGCCGAGCATTGTCATGGAGCAACACAATTTCTTTACTGAGCATTCCTCTTCGTTTGTTTTGAATGGCGCACCTTAGTTTTGTTAAAGTCTCACAATATCGTGCCGCATTAATGGTTTCACCTCTGGGAAGAAATTAAGTAAGCAAAATGCCTTTCCTATCCCAGAACTTAGTGCACATCATTTTTTGTGATGACATTGTCACTTTGAACTTTTGTTTTTTCGGAGAATGAGCGTTTCTCCACTCCATCGATTGTTGTTTCAATTCTGGTGTGAAGTGACACACCCAAGTTTCATCACCTGTCACAATTTGGTTTAAAAAGTTTTCTCCCTCATCACTGTACCGCATGAGAAATGTCGGGACACTACCAAGTCGCTTTGTTTTGTGAGCATTTTTGGAACCCATCGGGAACACAGTTTGCGATAATACAAGCGGTCAGACAGAATTTCAAACAAAACAGTACGTGAAATTTGTGGAAATGCCTCTGAAAGAGTTGTCATTGTGAAGCGTCTGTTCTCATGAATTGCTTCATCAACTTTCCTTACCAAATCATCGGTGACAACAGAAGGCGTGGACATCTCGCCTTCGACCTGCATTAAACATTCTTACCCACTTTCTCACCATTCCATCACTTATCGCGTAGTCACCGTAAACTTCTGTCACTTGACGATAAATTTCGGCCGGTTTAACATTCTTCGCGTTCTAAAATTTAATCACGGCACGAATCTCACAGTCAGCGGGAGAACTAATTGTCTTAAATATTTTGAATGTGCACAGCAAACTGAAAACACAACATAGAGCAACCAAAATGGCGAACGACGCTAGAATGAAACGGTATTTAGTTTCCAAATACGCTACGTATATACATCGTTGATTTTACGCCTACTAATATGTTATATCCCTGACAACAACGTGGCGAATCATTATTTATTATACAGTTAAAAGTTAGGGGGAACGTTGCGAAAATGAATTGGAAGTTCATCTGTCAGCACTATCCTTATCTTCAGGGCAGATGTTTTTATTTTATTTGGCTTATATTTCCTTACTAAATGTAGTATTTCATCTCGATATACTCAGTCTTTGATATGATATAAATCAAATTCCTTGTCATTATAATTCGCTTCCGATAGTGAAGAAAGTGACACAGAAGTTATTGAAAACAAAAACATTTCGATTGACAAATTAGTCGGTATTCTCGACACAGCAATTATAGCACTTGAACAGTGGAACTTTGTAACTAAACATGAAATTACTGACTTACATTGAAAGAAATGTTTAATAAAGTAAACAAATAAATATTAAGCTTTTTTTTTTTTTTTTTTTTTTTTTTTTTTTTTTTTTTTTTTTTGTAAATTTTGATACCCTTTAGACCATAATTGCTCTTTATTTCATAAATTACGGTTTCATATTTTTAATTTTATAATTTCGCATGCTATCTATCTTACCAGATTTAAACTGATGATCTATAATCCGGAAAAATCGATAATCCGGAATCGCCGAAGTCCCGACAAGTCCGGATTAACGACTTTTGACTGTATATAACTTAGTCTCTAATTCTAGTTAACAAAGAGATTTCATGTGCCTTCAAGTTAGAAAGAGAAGTGCAAGTTTTTTGTGAAGCAGAAATGGAAAACGAAACCCATAAATGTTTTCCATTTCTGCTTACCGCCCATATTTTCATGATATAAAACTGTGTATTAATCTTTCTGCATATTTTTGAAATTTTAAACTGAAGTATATAAATTGAAATTACTTTTATACATATTGTTGATGCTATTTTGAATGAAAGTGAATTTAATGTATAGTAGACTCCTTGGTGTGCATGAGTACTGCAAAATTATGATTAATTTGTACACAGTTATATAATATAGGAAAGAATAACAAATATTATAATTAATAAAAAATTATTTTAAGAATTCATGTGTATTTTGCAACAATTTAATCTGAAGAATAAGTTCACTTGGCTATGTAAATTAAATCAATATTCAAGACAAAAAGAAGAATGCACTATAAGTAATAGAAAAGTAAACACAATAATGGTGAAGAAATTTAAAATTGCATTAAAAAAATATTCATTGAGAATATAAACTATGTTACTAACTTCAAATTCCCATAAAATATCCATTTAGAACTTCTTTTTTTTTTTTTTTTTTTTTTTTTTCCCTAGTGTGTTCTGTTTTTAAGATCAATACTCTTATCTTGCTAGGCTTCATTTTATCAGATTGTTATCTTCCGCTTCCAAGTTATCAAGAAGGCAACAATAAAATACAGTTGTTTGAAACAGCATCACCAATCACCACAAAAAAATACTTAACATTGAAACAGTCAAAGCCAAACTTAATGGGCTTCATTTTTTATTTGCGAAGGAGTTGCAAGCGAGGGCTAGTATGAAAGGGGCTGAAGTCGATAGGAGAGCATTTGAGGGCATATCTATCCCCCTACCTTTTGTTTTTGTTTACTTTAGTATTTCATCAGGATTCGGGGTGAAACAAAAGATAAATAGCTGCATACTTGATTTATTTTTATAATTGAGCACTTTTAATGAATGATTTATTATATTCTGAATTACTAACAGTTAACTTCTAAATATTATAATATCAACTGTTGTCACTGTTGTTATTCCACGCCTTTTTAAACTAAGTGAAATCTTCTCTCCCTCCTCTTTTTTGTGTGTGTTTGTTTTAACAGTTTTGTTATACTCTGATGGTTTGTGATACTAATTTTGTCATTGTAAACAACCGTACTAAACAACTTTTCCCTTAGATTGGGCACATTTAATCCATAACCCAATTAATCCACCTCTGGTTAATTGGAAGTCTACTGTACTTACATTACTTGGGAACGTTTTGCCTCATCTGATAAGTTGTCTTTGTCATGAAACAGTCATGTTATAATCAGCAATTATAATCATTATAATGACCATTATATGTTTTAGAATCATTATATGTTTAGAATCATATGTTTAGGATCATTATATGTTTTAGAAATTTAAATCATATTTCATTTAGGTTTAACATATTTAACATTCTGCAGTATGTTTATGTAATAAAAATAATTTGAGTTACTTTCATGCCTGAAAATATTTTCCTGTTCTAGATTATGGTGCAATTGGTCCACGATATTCAAATCTTGTCCTACAAGCTCTCTTGGTTTTACTTAAGAAAGAGCCACCTAAGGTAATTTTTAATTCCTTATAGTTATGTGAATTGAAAATTGAAGATTAAATATTATTTATAATTCTTAAAGTTTTAATCATTAAAATACACTTAAGCTGCAAAAATAGGGCTGTGTTAGAGCAGACACTTTTCCATAATAAGTATTTCAGTTCTGTTTTCTAAATATTGACTACTGAATTATGATGAAATACTGCATATAGGAAACACTTGTTACTGTTAATTTCTTAATTAGAAAATTTTAGTCTATGTAATAAATTAGTCTCTTTTTAAAAAGTAAAGATTGCTGCTGTAGTTGAATGTATGAATGAAAATATTTGTTATTAAAAAATCGTGAGCACTTTTTAATGAAAAAAAAAATAATTTGAATATGCAACTCACGTTTTCGGCCTCGAAAACCGGATCATCAACACTGGTACATCAAGACAACGTCTGAAAATAAATATTAAAAAAGAAAGCACCAAAGAAAGAAGAAGGGAGGAAAAGAAATGCAGAGGAACTGCACAGTTCTAAGTTGAAATAGTCTAGGGATTCGTATGATCAGCTGCTGTGGTTGTACAGCCAGGACTTTCATGTTGTCCTAATTTTTCCGCCTGGTACTTCTTCGCTTTTTCTTGCTGTTATATAGTATGGACCGAAGAACTTTGGTCTTAACTTTAGACCACCTCCATATTATGCTCATTGTATGGCTAATAGATCATTCATGTTGTATACCTGTGCCTTTTTTCTCTTCTTCTTTTACATTTTTCCGTTCTCTTCCTGAATTTTTAGAAAGTTTTCCCTTGCTTCTTCTCTAATATTTTCTTAGTCTTTCATCAGAATATTGGTTTCTTATTCTTCGAGAATTTCAGTAAATTTTAAGTCGTAGCAATTTCTCATTTTAACCCTTTGACTACCAATGAGATATATATGTCCCACTAAAAGTTTAAAAATTACTGCTGGGTTAAAAGTACTTAGAAAGTCACTGTAGTGCATCCCATTCATAGAATTGAACCAGTAGTGCATGTTTCATCTTTTGTTATCCAGTTGGTGCTAAATATTTTCCTGCCAAAGGCCATTAAAACATTTTTTAATTAAAAATTAAAGGTTTAACACCAGTGAGGAGCTCAAAAAGTGCGATCTGTGAGCTTCTGTTCTTAGTGATGTTCAAGATCCGTTGTACGTACATATTTGTACCATTAGGTGGTATTTTCTATGGACAGTTTGAATAGGACTGGAATCAAAATCAGATTAATTCTTTCCACTTGCTCATTCTCTCTAGGAATTCCGGTAGTTGTAAATATATTCTGGATCGTTTCTTGCACACACTAGTCTTCAATCTTTAGATACAAAAGTCATATCTTTATTGGTTATTGTTCTAGAGGGATTGCCGAAAGTTAATTGTTACAGTTTCAGCTTTTGCAAGGCTGATGTTGACTTCACTGAGTAGAACCATACGAACTTTGTAAATGCACTGACAATGGTTCAGAGATGAATGTAGTTCTTAATTTTTTATGATAATGGTTCTATAAAATCGGTGTGAAAAGTGATGAAAGGAATACTAGCTTTTGTTTATGGGCTTCAGCAGACCTTCACCCATTTTTTCTGGGGGGTCACACAAAGTGCACTCTATATAATTTGTGATGACTTCTGTGGTTAGGAATATAAAAGTCATTCTTCATCAGATCTGTTTTAGACACTGTGAATTGTCCCTTGTTATGGATACTAATGATTTCTAGCTCCATTGCTTTAGGTACCACAAGTAACTCGTGATCACTGTTAAACTTGTATAATATGCCATTTTTTACTGTGTACTCTCTCTCAGTCCTTCCTCGACTAAAGATTTTAATAACTGGGAGGCACTCATCACTTTATGCAGTTGCAGTTTTAGCAGTAACTTCTCCCTGAGAATAGGTAACCATCATGGCAGCTTTTCTACTCAAAGCATCAACATGTGTCATTTGGTTCCCAGATCTGTGAGCAATTTCAAAGTTAAATTCTTCTAGAAGTAATGCCATCTTGCCCCTGTAGAAGTTAAATCTTGCTTGAATGTAGTCTTCTGAAAGGCATCACATTCAGACCTTGGATCACAAAAGGTAATTTCTGAATTTCTTTAGAACTTCCACTATAGCTCAAACTTCAAGCTCATAACTAGATAGTTTTGCATGTTGGAGTTATAGTTTTTCTTGTTGGAGATTAGTTTTTTATTCATGAAGTGAATGGGGTGTAACTGTCCATCATCAGACTTTTGTAGCAAAACACTGCCGAAACCATGATTCCTTGCATGTGTATGCAATTTTAGTGGTGCTGTGTATGTTTGAAAATATGAAGAACAAGGCTTTTTCTTCATATTTTCAAATAAAATTTCTTTCAATTTGTTAAATGCTTTTTTTTTTTTTTTTTTTTTTTTTTTTTTTTTTTGCTCAGGTCCAAATTTGAATTCTACCCTATTACAAAGAATGCTGGCAATAAATTTTCTAAAATATCCCAAATAAACTCTGAATTTGCTTAAGCTTTTTGTCCTCCAGGAAATTTTTTCACTGTTTTTTTCTCCCCCCCCCAGAAGAGGGGTGAATTGTACCATTCTGAATAATGTACCTGAGAAATTCTGTTTTTAAAAATTCTCATTTTCTAAAACTAATCTCCAAATTGTATTCGTTGGCCACTTCTAAAACATGTTTTAACTTTTCTAAACCTTCTTTCTTGTCATGTGCTGGAAAAATGAAATCATCCATATAAATAACAATGGTGTCGTCCGAAATTAAGTCTCTGAACACATTATAAATAAACCTTTGGAACACATTTGGTGATGTACACAAACTGGAAAGCTCTTTTAAGAATTTGTAGAGACCTGCAAGTGTTATGAGCACCAAATATTTAGTGCAGGTTTCCTACATGGGAACATGGAAAAAAATCATTTTTTAAGTCTTAATTTTGAAAAAAACCTTTGTTTCACCCAAATGATCCAAAACCTCTTCTACTTGTGTCATCTGAAAACAATCCCTAATCATACTACAGAAATAATATAAGTGGTCAGTATTATTTTATAAAAACATACTAGAAATATTTAAAGTATAATATTATTATGAGAAATATAATTACTTCTAAAAAGCCTATGGCTAAAAGTTACCATTGGTGATGGTTTAATAGAAACACATAATGAAAATTACACAACTAAAATAAAATAAACAAGTTATAATCTAGCCAGTTGAACAACTTCAGATTTGACTTTTTCTGTGGTGTTCTAAAGTGCTTATATTAACTAACATAAGGGACTCTTACAAAAAACACTCCTTTCCTTCTCAATGTTCAAAAGTCACTCTTTTTCTATTATAACAAATGATCAAAGATTATATCCCTACACTTTTTTCTGAAACCTTATACTAGCAAATATTATACTGAAAAATATTTGAAACTGTTTTGAAAACAAAAACTAGAAAAACTAGAGAAATGGAAGCAATTCAGAACGTAACTTAAATTTTAGAATTTAAAAAAAAAAAATAAATAAATAAATAAATAAACAATTTTTATTACTTAAATTTGAAAGGCACACTATTCACATATTTTTCTATATAACCTCCATATAAATTAGACACTTATAACAGTACACGAGCTTGTTAATTCCATCGTCATAGAATGTTGCCGCCTGAGACTTCAAACCTACATAAACGCCTGCATGCAGTTCCTTGTCATCATCGAAGTGCTGCGTTGCAAGCCAGGTCTTCATGTGTGGAAACAAGTGCTAGGAGCAATGTCTAGACTATATGCTGACTGACCAAATAACTACCATCCAAGAGCTGCCTGTAGAGTTTGAATGGCTGTTTGGGGGCATGCATTGTCATGAATGATGAAAAACTTTGGAACTCAACTTTCCTCGATGCTTGTTTTTTATCGCTACTCTCAATTTCTTTAAATGTTTCACAATATCTCTCGCTATTAATCATTTTGCCACATTCAAGGTAATCCACCACAAGTGCACCTTCCCTGCCCCAGAAAACAGTTACGATGTTCTTTCTTGATTGACAGTATTTGCAAACATTTCCTTGTTTAAGAAATCATAAATTTTACCCAGGTCTCATCTCCTGTTGCAACATGATCAAGAAGTGATTCACCATGTTCGTGGTACGCCTCAAGAAATGACAAAGCTGATGCCATGCACTGCTTCTTGTGGTCATCTGACAAGATTTTTGGTACCCATCTGGCACAAAACTTGTGATAGCCTAGATCTTGCATCACAACACCAAACAACAAAGTTCGGGAAATATGAGGAAATTCTAGTGAGAGCTCCGAAATTGTGAAATTATGTTTAGCTATGTTTCTCACATATACAGAGTACCCAAAAGCATGTGCTCATTTTTTAATAAAAATTGCACAGTTAATTTAGTAAAACACTTTATGACTTAGATCTGAGTAGATGTGGAAAGGAATGGCGTGAGATATATAGAAAAAAATCGTATCTAGAAGGGGATGCCCATATATACAAGAAAATCAACCATTGGTCTTAATCTGTTATGAATATGTGAATAATTTATGCACACAGACAACAATCTTATGCAGATGGAGTTTAAAATTGTTTTTCAAAATTCCCCCAACTGATTTTGGTCCTGAACATAATGTTCGATGAACCAAATAGGGGACTACAGAAAAATGCTGCTCTCTCTGTTGCCTAATTATCTGGTGTTCTCACTGTACATTCAGCACTTAATGATGTTTCGAAGTTACAGAGTCCGAAGTTTGAAACTTGTGTGTTGGAACTTCTCCATCCTGCTCCACATCTAATTGCAAATGAAGTTGCTTCTGAACAACAACCAATGAATCCCCATCTCTAAGGCACATCATATGTGAACACATGATTGTCTACAGACCCCCAGTCAATGAAATACATGTAAAATAAATGTTTGCAGCAACAGTAATATAGTATATTGTTGCGTGCGTACGGGTTCGTTACGAAATGAGTGCACAAGTCTGAATGAAAAATGAAGAAAATTTATTATTATCACAAAAAATATGATTAAATGTCCTCA